CCCCAAAACCCCAAAACCCCAAAACCCCAAAACCCCGTAGGATCTTGTTGAGATTGAAGAGATTGGTAAAAATAGAGGTTTTAGGATTTTTGGCAATTTATCAATTTTACCAATCATAAATCTCTAGTACATTCAGTTTTGCATCTTACCCTTCCTTTGCCTTCAGAAGACTATCCTATTTTACTTCTATCTACACGCTCATAAGCCTCTTAATCTTGGGATTCTCCATTCTATAAATAAGATGGGACATTTACCTCTGTGCAAAGAAGTGGGAGAGCTCATTGAACTGTATAAAGTCATTCATATGGTAATAAACTTTGTCATTATGCGAGTTGAAAATATCTCTGATATCATGAAGTAGTTTTATCAGAGTTTCAGTCTTAATTCTTTTATCTATCTCAGTCTCTCTCCATTGGAAGGAAAACTTGTATTTCCCTGTTGCCATATCGAGGTACTTCTTCTGCTTGCTACGCTTACGCTTTTTGCAGAGGAAAAGTAAGATCATTGCTGATTTGATGTCCATCTGCTTCTCTTCGTCAAAACTATCAATAGAGGAAATAGACAGCTCTAGGTTTTGATCATTCTTATCATGAGTCATATCGAACTGGTTCTTGTTCATCAGATCCTTCGATATTGATTTTAATGGAATGGCGAATAGACTCCATTCGTAAAGTTCTGGAGGCAGCTTATCAAGATTAGATCCAGTTGAGAATGAAAGCATGTTCATAGCATCATACCAGATTTCTGATAAATTATCACTCCCTTTTATCTTTTTACCATTGATCCTGATGAATCAAGGGACCTCTTTTTGATAATTTGTAGTGAAGACATCTTGGATAAGAATAGGTCTAACTCCTTGAGTTGCTATATTGAAAAATTTCATAAAATTTTCGACTTTTACAACGCCAGTTTCTACTTCTTCTCGATGAGGGATTATCCAAGTGTCATTATTCTTATACTGGTAGAATATCTTAATCATTGAGCCAAATGGGCATATCTTTTCTATCTTCTGCTGGATACTATCAACAGCATCAAGTACAGCTTTAGGAGATTTGCTGATTCTTAGGGTCCTCATAAAATTTATAACAATAGAGTTGATCTCTTCTTCTGTGACTTCCTTTACCTCTGGCTTTCTGTAGACTTGAATAATCTTCTTGCCATCCTCATCTCTTCCAAGGTGGACTCTACAGCAATGAGTTAAGACATGCTGCATTTCTTTAGTCCTAAGAGCTTGCACATCATGATCCTTAAGCAAGGCTCTTTTAAGGATGTAATCACCGTTAAGCTCGATGTTCTCTTGTTCTTCATCATCTTTGAATGCTTTCATAACTTCTTCAGCTAGGTACATTGAGCTGACTCTTCTAAGATACATTTTATTTCTTTCCATCTCTTTTTAAATAGCTGTTGAATATCTCGCTTTCTTTGGTATCCTCTTTTTTCTTCTCTTGTTCAAGACCTTGGAGGTTCTCTTCATCATAGAACCCAAATCGCTCATCATTTTGATGGCTGCTCTCACTAAAGCTGCAGTTAGAAGAGTTGTCACTCTCGAATTCGTGGCCAAGTAGAGTAATTCTGGTGTCGAAGGTGATCACTTTAGGTGTTTTCCTGAAGGAAGCACAGGAATGAGTGCTGTTACCACTGGATTCCCGCTTAATTTGGAAAAGTTTACCAGTAATATCCCTTCTATGAGTATTAAAATATGGCGAATCTAAGCTAAAGTCATCTCGAGCAGGTTTGTTAGGTCTGAGTTTGTCCAGCTTTGTAACTTCTTTAAAATCTTCTGGCCTCAAGCAAGTATTCATGATGTTTCTTTTAATAAATCTGTGTAGACTTTTGAAATCGTCATTGCTTGATTCAAAAATGCTCTTGTATAATTTATCGAAATCAGAGATATGTCTTTTCTTTTCAATTGTGGAACTCATTAGCGTTGTTAGATTTGTCTGAGAAATTTTACTAGATTGGATTAACCTCTCTGCCATCGTTATTCTAAACTATTTAGACAAAATTTTACTTTTCATTAGGAAATTCATTATCTTCTAAATCTATTTTAAAATCTTTATCAATTTTGATTGATTTCATGAGATAATCTTCTTCCTCATTGACAATTGCAAAGACTTCCCATGTGAGTCCGAGTAGAATAGATCTCAGAATGAAAGTAATAAAAAGGTGAAATGGGAGAAGGAAGATTCAAGGCAAAGTAAATCCATGAAATATCTCTTGGTACAGTACAATCATATGCCATGAAGATTCTGTCAGGATTTGAAACAGAGCAAATATCGAGTCTTCGAAAGTTTGAAAATTTCCGTATATGCTTCCTTCATAATAGGAGACATCTTCATTTTCAATTTTAAGTTTTTCATATTCGCTTTCAGAGTACTTTAGAAGTTCTGTTCCAATAACTGCATAAATATAGAACACTATCAACATTACAGATGTGATTCTTCTGAAACTTGACAGACACAATACTGCTTTAATGATGATAGCCTTGCTTCTTGATAAGGTATCTAGGGTAGCAAAAAGCCAAAACATTGTTTTTGATTTCTTCATCCATTTCACTAACTTGAGACATCTTTGATTTTTACTGAATCTGAGAAACTTGATTCCTCTGGATGATACTAAGTTCTTTGAAATCCTGATGACTGACATTGTTACACTCAGGATTAGTGATAGAATTACCATGACAAAATCGAGTCTGTTCCAATTGTCATTAAAATATTCACTGACTCCAAGGCCAGTGATCTTTACCACAGCTTCTGCTCAGAAGATGTACACAAAGATGTCGTCAATCAGGTCGAATATCTCTAAAACTTCACCTGAAAAGGGACAAAGCTGGAGTAGGAGGAGCACTATAGGATTCATTAAGACTTCTTACCCATATTGAGGATTATCACTATGAACATTACGATGTCAAACCACTTTGATTTCACTATTTTGTCTAGAAAAGTGTACTTAATGAGTCAAAGCCTGGCTTTCTCTAAAGCTTGGAACCTTACAGGGGTTGAAGCAAGGTTGGACATAGATTTTATCAGTTCTCAGCCTTGGAAAAATTTCTCTAAGTTCTAAAAGTAGTCAGAAAATAAATACCATATAGCCGATGTCACGAGTATCAAGAGACTCAAAGACTCTTCTGACCTTATTTATGATCTTGCCTACCTCCATAGACCACATTAAAGAAGGCTTCCCATTGCTCAAGGCTGATATAGCCTTTCCTTTGTACGTCGATGCACATAAAGCACATTAAGAGACCTTCTTTTTCATGTAACCTGTCTTTCAGAAGGACTTTACCTCTGTTGATCTTGAAGGCCTCGAACACAATCGCTACTGGCAGAGGAAGAATGATCAATACAGTCAGTACTAGGAACGGATAAAAGAATATCAAGCTCATATTCGAGTCCTTGACGTATGGGATTAGGACAGATGGGTAGTTTGACAATGTAGCAAGGAAATAAATGTTCTGAGTTCCTTCAAACAAATTTGAAAAATTACTTTCTCTCTATACATTTTAGATATAAATTTTACAGTTATTCCAGAAATCTTATGATCAAGAAATCTTTGTCCAAAGACTGCATACAGGAATGAAATTAAGGATATCAGGCACCCAAGGTCGATTATCTGTGGGTATCAGTTTAAGGCAGAAACAGTAGTTCTATATACTTCTCTTGACTCCAAAACTGCCTTTATTGCTCTGAATATTCTTCCAAATCTGAAATACTTGTTTGGATATAGGGAATAAAACAGCACAGCATCTACTATCATCATTCATTCTCAGATGAGATTTATGACGAACATTTCTTCAGTGAATACCTTGCGAAAGCCTATCCTTTGACCTGCTATTACTGTAAATTGTATTCTCAAAATCATATCGATCAGAAAGTACAGAAGAATGATGATCTCGCAGGCTAAGATTCAGTTGAATTGGATACTTCCCCGAGCAATTGATGTATCTGTAGAATTATTTGGCTCAAAGAATGTCAGGAACATATAGAACCAGCACAAGAATACTTTTATACCTCTCACAAATGGACTTGTCGTAAGAAAATAAGCTTTCTGAGCAAAAGTATCATCATGGAAGTGGTAAAATGTCACATTTCTATAAGCTAAGTTGAAATATTTTGAAGCTGTCTGGTAACAATTTTTCGTATTCAGAAATTTCAATTTTTCCTTAAAGATATTATCTCCCTCCTTATTGATGATTTTCTTCACAGCGTTATTCCCACTAGAGACTGTGTTAAAGGTGGTCTTCTTCAGCCGCCGAGACTGAAGTCTTGGAATAACTTTGCTGAGAGCTTGTAAGCTCTTCTCTTTCTTTTCTTCATTTCTAAAAGTCTTCATGAAACTTTCAACAGGTTTTGACTGCATCTTAGTATCATTTTCAGCACCTGAAACTTGGGAGGAGCAATCACTCAAGGAAGATCTCCTACTGAGAGACGACATAGATGCTTCCACCTTGGTCTTATTCATGATCGTACCAATCCTAAGCAGCTTTGAGGTTTTATTTCATCGGTAAAGTAAAGTCCTTATCGGGCGAAGCTAAGTAGTTATAAATTTTGCCTTACCAATATTCATCCCCGGGATTGCAAGTTTTACAGGTGACTGAGCTCGAGGTCTCTTCTTCAGTGATTTCTGTGGTGAGTCTCCAAATCTCCTACTGAACATTTTCCTAATCTTGGATGCTTCTTGTATGACTCAGAGACTAGATCTTTTACTTTCTTTGCCTAAAGCGATATTTTAATTTAAAACGATCTTACTTCCTTCTTGGTTAGGTCTGAACCTAACCGTTTCAAAATTTGAAATGCTGGAATTCTTGCTTCGGTGAGTTAAGGCAAATTTGTTTTTCCTCATAACATTATCTTCAGAAGCAGTTGGAACTATCAAGCTAGTATCCTTCTTCTTCAACCCACGATTCCTTCTTCTGGTCAATGAATTGCCAGAATTTGAGGACATCATACTTGATTTTGAAGAGAAATAATGATGGCCCAATCCAAGGGAATCTAGCAAACTTTGGGTATTATTTCTCCAATTCTGTATCTTTGCTAAACTTCTTACTCATCCTGAGGCTGGATAGCTTATTTCTGAACACTTTTTAATGCTGAAGGTTATTAATAACATTTACAACCCGATTTGTTAGACTGCAAGGCGCTCAAGTCTTCAATGTCTATGGATTAGGATTTTAGTACCGATGCGATATTCTGCGTTATTTGATTGGTCGTCTCGGCTGAGTTCTTCAATCTCGTCAATCGCTTCTCGGATGAACATATCATCTCTTGTGTTAAATCTTTCTGTAAAAATTATAAGTTCACTCAAATTAGTAATAATTTTGCTTATAGAAGATTCTTTTATAACTTATTATCTATATTCAAAAAAGAAATTGCAAATTCAAGAGACAACAGATTTTAAGAGGTTTAAAAAATTCCCATTTCATCTCAATTGCAATGAAATTTCTGGAAAATACGAATTCAAACACCAGACTAAATCTTGATTCAAAATACCCTAACATGCACTTTTACATCACCTACCCCCAAAGACTCAGCACCAATACCTCTCATCAAGACCCCCAAAATCCTCTCTTCCCTTACACTACACCCCCTTTTCCGCTCCTCTCCACCTTAAACCCCCACCTCTTACTCCCCATACAAGCCCTTAAACTCCCAAAATCCACTCTTTTCCCTCAAAACTAGCTTCTTGGTCCCCAAAATCTCCACTACGGCCACTTCTTCCCATCCAGGTTCTAAATTCCTTGGCCTACAGCTCCTTGGATTGAGTGCAGATTTGTGGCAGGATATAGAGGAGGGCTGGGATTTAGAGGGAATAGTTAAGGAAACTTAAGAAGATAGTGAAAGAAGGAATAGATCACTGGAATAGTTGTCCCAAGCATGATGTCACTGGGTAAAGAATTTATTCATACCTAGCCCACAAAACTCCTCACATCTATAAGGTATTTCTTCCCCCAAGGCCCTAATATCTCTTCAGAACTTATCCTTCCTACATACCTGCTTCTTTAGACTCCTCTCTGCTGTCACCCTCCATTTCTTCCCGTAATGATATTTAATAACTACATAAAGTTAAGGGGTTTTGGGGTTTTGGGGTTTTGGGG